AGAGGGGATAAAGAAATAATTTTTATTTCGAATTTGGGAGCTATTACTGTGTTTTAATGATGAATTGAAATGATATAATGGAGATGAGGATATTAACGACATTAGATACTGATATTATCATTGTAGAATGGAAGCCTCTTTGAAGAAAGTGTGGGAGGGGCAGATCTAGACTACAGGTGAAGGAATGGGATACAACAGCCAGGAGAGGATGAAAAAATGGGATGAAATATATGGTAAGCTTATAGGTGGATAGTTAAGAAAGCTATTTTGTATTCGATGGTTTGTATTTTCTAAATATTTTATACAGTGGAGACATTAGCTTATGTGTTTGAGGAAGGGAGGTGGATAACTGCTGTCTTCATAGCTACCTACAAAAGGGGAAAAAGTATCACAGTTGAAAAAAGTATAGCCTGGTCCTTCCTACCTCTCCAATCTCAACTTATATCAATCTCTCTCTGGGCCACAAAGCTTCAGCAGTGCTCATTTTATTTCAGTACTTTCTTTCTGTCTATGTACAGTACACATTTTTAGCCAACTTGGGGTTTTAGAAGACTAATCATTTCATAAAATACTTTTCTATCCAACCTCCACAATTTAGATCTCAGCAAAATGTTTCCTCATGAGTGAGGCATCCTAGGGTGTTTATAAAGTCCCCTCTCAGGATTTCCTATATATCATTAGTCTATTTTACTATTTTTCTATTAATATGCCTGACAGTAGTGCTCAATATACATTTGTTCAGTCAAGAAATAGCACTTAGAACTATCTGATATTTTCCTACTGCTTACTTCTTTACTCAGCTTTTGTGTGTCCTTCTCTTTAACCCCCTTAAATTATAAGCCCCATAAAACCAAGGTCTGTTTTAGATTTTTCGGTCATAAATCTAGCACCTAGAACAGCTCTTGTACATAGAACATTAACAATGCACATCTGTTGCATGAATTAATAAAACATAAAAGAATGCAAGTTCATTTTTCAATAATTTTGTTAAATTTAGAGATAACAGTCATCTTAAAGTGATCATGTGATTTTCTCCAAGAAGATGTAGATCAGGTGCATTGATTATTCAAGGTTAGAAAATTGGTAAGTGAGACTGAGTTAGGGAGTCAAGTAAGTTCATGGTGTTTTGATGCACTAATTATAATGACTGTGATATAGAAGTTCAAGACAGAAGGGGTTAGTAGAAAGTGAAAGACAAGTATGGCTATGACTAGGTAAGGTCAATATAATCATATCATTTTGTTTTTAAAGGTAATTAAGCATATGCACTAAAAGAACAGAAAAATATGGTTGGAGAGGAAAATATTTGAAACAGAAAATTCAGAAGTGGCAAAGTTTCTGGTAAGGACAGGTCTGATTATAGCTTATATCATAGGAAGTGAATGGCTAAAAACAAGTGAAAGGAATGTTCCCTGGAGGTAAAGAAGTAAAGGAACCAAGAGTAAAGGAAGTTAGATGTTTCACTTCCATGAATATCGAACTCATGAAAATGAAGCCAGGAGTAATGATGCAAAGGCTATGACTTATACATTGAATTTTTCAGTTAATAAGAAGAATAACTAAGAGATCAGGATGCAAAAACAAGGAGGAAGGTGTAGTGGGTGACTGAATTGAATGGCATGAGCTTACAAAAATAAGAATTTTCTGTCTTTATTTGATTTTATTCTAAAGGAGGAGAGAATTGAGAAGTTGCAATTGTGACCAAGGAGGACAAATTACTTGTCTCTTTGACTTGATGTACAGAAGCTAGAAAATTAGAACAAAAACAAAACAAAGAAACCTCCACAGACAGGACATCAGTAGAAATGTCAAGAAGGAGCCCATCAAAGAGAATATTCGAGAAGAGGCTGTGGAGGTAAGGTTGCTGTGGTACATTGTTCCATGAGAATTGTGGTTTGAGGACTGTCTCCACACATTCTTTGGTGGAGGTAAATTAATTTGATTTACTGATGAAAGCATTGAAAATGAAACAGGAGCTGAATTCCTGTCAGTATTCATAATGACCTCGAATCTAGAATTACAAGTCTTCAACAGGTAAATAATTATCATTGCTGAGTCAAAAGTCACTTACTTTGTTCTTGTTTGCCATCTATCTATATCACACCCAACATAGAGTGTAGGGAACCAGACCCACATCACCCATGGGTACCCCGAGTTTGGTGGCAACAAAGGATTGAGAAAAAGACAGATCAAGAGTGAAAGTAGGACCAGGGGGCCATCACTTATTACTGGAGGCAGTGAAGGCCCGAGCTCTGATCTCTCACACTATTTATTGGTGGAATGGTGTTGAGGAGAGGGTGATGTGAGGAGAAGGATGAATCGGTGAGCCAGAACTCGTGTGCCATTCTAAACATTGATAACAGCGGCAGTTTAGGAGTTTCACAAAACAAGAACATGTGGTTATCTTTAGCCTATTATCTATGTGCAGCTGGCGGAACGCGGGCCTTACAAGGAGCCTACAAGTCAGATTATGTCTTAGTGCTATGAAGGGGTTTTATGTCCTTGAGCACAATGTTTATGGTACCAGAGACTAGGTCACCCTGTGCTGGAACATGAGGCATGGAGAAGTTTGCCTCCCCAGGGGCCTCCTGCAGTTTGCTGTGTTTTTTTGTTCCCAGTTTATATGTTACTCATAACCAATTTATGTAGGCACTCTGTAAGTCCTTTCTCCTTTGCTGCTTCCCCCAACAGAGAATATTAATGTTAGGTACAAAGTCAGGCCTCAATAAGCATTTGTTCGATAAATAAATATGACTTACTATTGTCTATTTCTTGATTATTTATTCCTTTACTTGTTAATTCCACTGGTGGGGATAGAAATCACCCTAACTAGTATCAAAATATAATTTTTCAGCTATTTTCAGATGCGAATAACTCCTTTTTATGTAACAGATGTGTTTTTGCTTTTGGATACCTGTGCCTAATTTTACTAAAAGTGCTATCCATCATCAATTCTAGAAGCCCATGGCATCTTGTGACATTTGAAGATCAATTGCTAATACAGACAATTGTGAAAAGCTTTGTTTTAATGGACCTGTAATTGGTATTTGTATTTTCTACTTTTAAAAGACACTCAGAATATTCAATTAATTGTTTTCAATTACAATACATAGCAAGTCTGTATCTATTTTCAGAAAATTGTTTAAGTATTTCTCTGTAAAAGAACTATTTTTAAGGTTTTGAAAATTTGAAAATTGAGAACTATTTATTTTTCTGAGTACAAATAGGAAAAATTCTACTGAGCTTCTCTCTCTAATGCTTTCTCTGACATGAAAAGTCTTCATTATTATTAAAATAAGCTTTAAAAATGATAGTCCACATTATTAAACATCTTTCTTGTGTATATGAGAAAACTAGCCTAGTAGAGTTTTGGGTTCACAGATTCTTTCAGTTACATTTGTTGTAGAAGGGTAGATTACATTCAAAGTATAATTGCTTATAGGCTTTGCTGTGATATGAAATCCTTGTTTCTGTTAAGAATCAAACTTTAAAAAATATATTTAAGGAGTATGCACACTTACCATATGCGAACTTTCTGTTGCTATGATTTAAAAGCAATAAGATATAGTGAAACAAACAGAAGTGGTGAGGTTTTAATATTGAGTACATTATTCCACTCTTTTTCTCAAATAGGTTTCAATTGCCAGGCACTACCCAAAGAGTATAGTAACACAATGTAGGAAAATGGAGACTAAGTTTCTGTCTTTGAGGAATTTACAGTTTATTAAGGGATACAAACAAATCGGAAAGAAAAGAATAAAGAATGAAGGAGAGAAAGGGAGAGAGAAGGAAAGAGAGAGAGAGATAAAGGAAGGAAGGAAGGAAGGAAAAACAGAGAAAGGAAGAAAGAAAATCCAATTTTGATATGATAAATCATAGGGATGCTGCTTGTTTGGGTTGTAGACACAACACAGGTTGCTCAGCTAAATTTCAATTATAGATAAACAACAGTTTTTTAGTGCAAGTGTGTCTCAAATATTATGTAGGAAATATATAAACATGCTAATTCAGGCAATCTTAGCACATGTAAGAAAGGGATCCAATCTAAACTCCTTATATAAGGGATCCTTCACCAAAGACATAATGTTCTAATTGAAGAGGAGGTTAGCCAAGTGATAAGTGGGGAATGTAGGTACAGGGAACAGTACATGCAAATATAACATCATGTCATGATCTTCGTGTTTGTCCCCCCAAACTCCAAATTCATATATTGAAATCCTAACCTCAATGAGGTAGGGCCTTTAGGAAGTGGTTATGTCATGAGGGCTCCACCCTTGTGAATGAGATTAGTGTCTTTATAAAGGAATCCCCAAAGAGATTCCTCACCACTTCCACCATGTGAACATACAAAAAGAAAGTGCAATTTCTGATACAGAAAGTGGGCCCTCATCAGAAACATATCTGCCAGTGCCTTGATCTTGAACTTTACAACCTCCAGAACTGTGTGAAATAGATTTTGGCAATTTATAACTTCTTAGTATGTTATTAAAGCAGTCTAAATGAACTAAGGCAGACCAGGAGGTAAAAAAGGGTAGACTGCATTTGGAGGACTACACTATGTGCACTATGTGTATAAGGAGAGGAACAAAACAGGATATTGGAGTTATGCTGGGGCTCAGCCATATGTGGAATCATAACTATGGTGAGGACATTTTAATTTCTCTGCATATAATATTTTTTCTGATTTGTTGCTAGTATTATTACTTGGGTTACAGTTGGGAGTATAGGTTTAATTTGAGAGGGTCAGAAAAAGTTTTGGAGTCAATAAGGAAAATATACTTGAGAAATGGTGATTGTGTAAACAGGAGAGGTGGCAGCAGTCAAAAAAGACAGAATTGTGCAAATTCAGGATCTATTTAAGATTTAGTATCAATAGGACTTTATAATTGATCAGATGGGAGTAATGAAGCAGAGGGAAGAGTCAAAGATAACACCTGAATTTCTAACCTCTTATATAGAATAGGCAAGTTTGAAATTCTCTTAGCCAGGCAATATGCAGTTGATTATTCAATATCACAAAGGTTAGGGGTGCAAACCTCCTCCTACAGTTGAAAATTCATGTTTGACTTTTGACCCCCTAAAAACTTAACCATGAATAACCTATTGTTGATCAAAAGCTTTATGGTAAAAATGAACAGTAATGAACACATTTTGTGTATATGTGTATTATACTGTATTCTTAAAGTAAGAAAAAGAAAATGTTGTGAAGAAAATCATAAGAATGAGAAAATATATCTACTCTTCATTAAGTGTATGTGGATCTTCAGAAAGGTCTTCATCCTTTTCTTCATGTTGAGTAGACTGAGGAAGAGAAAGAAGAGGAAGTGCTGATCTTGCTGTCAAAGGGGTGGCAGAGGCAGAAGTAGTGATGGCAATGGAAGGGGAGGCAGAAGAGGGAGACATACTTAGTAAAAATTTTTATTGAAAAAAAGCCACATGTAAGTGGACCTGCACATTTGAAATTCATGGTGTTTAAGGATCAACTGTAGTATGAAATATATGCTGGAGACAGTGGCATGTGATGGGGAGAGGCTTAGAGAGTATGAGGAACATAAGCAACATCCAAGAGCAAATTTTTAGCAAGGTGTTTGTTATATGCCCAGAAGAGACATCTTGACTTTAGCAATAGATTGGGAGTATTGCTTGTTCATAGATAGATGTTTCTCAAACTGTTATTGCTGAAGACATGCATCAAAATCACCAAGGGTTCATGATACAATTCCTGGACCCCAACTAAAAGTACCAAATCTAACTTTATCACAAACACCCAGATGGTTCTTGCACACATGAAGTTTAATTATTCCTGATAGAGATGATAGATGAAGGGCTATACCTAGATAGTATCACTGGGGGATGGTATAGCGTGACAAACATACATAGTTCAGATGATGTGGAGTACTACCAAAAGACATTGAGTCCCTAGGGAAACTTAGAAGCAGCTACCTATGAAATATCACACGCACACACACACACACACACACACACACACACACACACAAAACATAAGGATGGCATCAGGGTAACTAAGGTTATAGGGTTTCAGATTTACATATTTTAAATGAAAGCTCATAAAATAACTGTACTAAATGTTTTTATCTTTATGATGTTCTAGACTACATAATTCAGCGACTGATAACCCCTGTATCTCCAGTGCCTAACACATAAGATATATTCCTCGATTTTTGGTTTAATAAATAAATATAAATATTTAAACTGTGGTAATGGCAAACTGTTTAACTTGCCATAAATGATATTATTTCAGCTAGAATTTATTTTGAGGGAGAGGATACATTTTAAAAATAATGTAAACCTTTCTATGAAATATCTGAGATAAATGTTTTCCACTTTACATTTTGTTCACACATAAGTATTATCTAAGAAAATTTTTTTTATTTTAAATATACATATTTGGAGTTAGATTCCAATAGCATTTGGACTGGCTAAAATTGTCATATGTTCTCAGTAAAATGGAACTGTTTAGCTTTTATTCAATACAACAAGAAATTATTTAATAAGATGCTAATACTATCACAATGATTTATCTCTACTTTTTTATTTCCTTGGTGTAATAAATCTCTACATTGGAGATAAGTGTAGCAGCATTTCAGATATGTGTTAGATGAGTTGGCATATATAACCCAAGGCTTTATATTTTGAAACACAGGATTCAATTTTTAAAGGATTAAAAAAAGATTAAAGAAAAAGGCATAAAATGGCTCTACACATTGTATCTCTGTCAGTATATTAACGCACCTAGCTTTTCAGCATCCCCCATTTCAATTTTGATTTGGTCACTCAGTGCTGTTTAATTCACCACTTCCATTTTTAAATTCCCTCTTGCTTTTCCATTCCCCAGTGAAAATTTGATTTGTATTTACCCCATTATTTAGCACATAAAATTGTAGCCTACAACAATGACATAAATTTAAAGAGGCTATAAAATTATTGCAATAAATATTCTGGATATTGCAAGAAAAGACCTCCTGTGCTAAGAAGGAATATTCATGTAAATGAAACTTCCCTATATATTAGTATTTTAGTCAAAAGAAATGACTTCCCCCTCCCTCAGGTGAACAGTCTGAATCTGCATTTAAATGGAAAGAAGAATTCTAATTCAGATTTCAGCTACTGGAATCAACAAAAAAGGAATCAGGTGTAGGCTGAAAAGTCTCTTTAATGTTATATTAAACCATACATACCTGAAAATTCAGATCTAATCAAGTATATCATATTAATTCTCTCAATTAAATTTCTAGTTGATATTTAATTCAGTCTTACTCCTAAGAATAAAGCGCTTAAAAATATTCATTCTAATCTCATTTTTATACACTTATTTTAGATTTCAGTATATGAAGAAAAATAATGTGTCTTTTAAAGTAACCTTATATATGAATCTTGATTTCATGTGTAATTTTTCATAACACTGTAAAATCCTCTAGAAACCTGTAAAATAATAATAATAATAAACCTCATGTGAAGAGCCTTATATAAGATGCCATTTATGTTTATGCTATCAATATGCTTACTTCTAACTCAAACCAGCTATCAATCAATTTAGAAATTATCCCTAACTCATGAAACTTCTACAAGTATGTAAGTTTCATGAAAGTTGAGCTATTTTCTTTTTTACCACCTTATATCTTGCTCCAATAAGAGAATATTGTAACTTAAGCACTCTGTATGATAGAATAAATGAACCAATTAAATTGCTCAGTATTTTTCCAGAACACTCCCAGAAAATCTAGCTCAGAATGTTCCCAGAATTCAAAATTTTAAAATTAACACTGAGTCTAGTAAATCATTATGTATCAGAATTAAGAAGTAGAAAAAAACTTTTTAAAAAAAGTTGATTGGCTGTGTGTCTTTCTCCCACAAAATTGAAAGCACCTCCCTGGCAGAGGCAACATTTTGTAGAACTCCATATTTTTTACAACGTGCTGAGTACATAGCATAGTGCTTAGTATTTCTTGATTGAATCACATTTGACATTAGTGACCGCCTCTTCTGGGGTCTCACTTTTATAATAACATCCACCATTACACTTTCACAATCTTTGAACATGCTGTCCTTTCTCCCTGAAATACCTGCCCCACTGTTCTTCATTTGGTTAATGCCTAATCAAGCTACATTAACACTGCATCCTTTGGCAGAGACCATTTTTAAATGTTATTCTCTATATTCACAGTGTAGACTTGCTAGGAAGTATAAACTTGCGGGGAAGAATATGCTCATCCAGCTTCTATATTTCCTAGCCCATTTGCATCTGTGAGGCACCTTGGTTTCTTCATATACACAGTAGCTCAACTTACATGGAGTTACATATTTTTAGAAGTTTTATGAGTTGGGGATAATCTCTAATCAATTAATAGATGGTTTGAGTTAGAAGTAAGCATGTTAATAGCGAGCCCGCATAGCCAAGTCAATTCTAAGCAAAAAACAAAGCTGGAGGCATCACACTACCTGACATCAAACTATACTACAAGGCTACAGTAACCAAAACAGCATGGTACTGGTACCAAAACAGAGATATAGACCATAGGAACCAGAACAGAGGCCTCGGAGGCCATGCCATACTTCTACAGCCATCTGATCTTTGACAAATCACACAAAAACAAGCAATGGGGAAAGGATTCCCTGTTTAATAAATGGTGTTGGGAAAAATGGCCAGCCATGTGCAGAAAGCAGAAACTGGACCCCTTCCTGACACCTTAAACTAAAATTAACTCCAGATGGATTAAAGATTTAAACATAAGACCTAATGCCATAAAAACCCTAGAAGAAAATCTAGGAAAAACCATTCAGGGCATAGGCATAGGCAAGGACTTCATGACTAAAACACCAAAAGCATTGGCAACAAAAGCCAAAATAGACAAATGGGACCTAATTAAACTCCAGAGCTTCTGTACAGCAAAAGAAACAATCATTAGAGTGAACCGGCAACCAAAAGAATGGGAAAAAATTTTGCAATCTACGCATCTGACAAACGGCTAATATCCAGAATCTAAAAAGAACTAAAACAGATTTACCAGAATAAAACAAACAAGCCCATTCAAAAGTGGGCAAAGGATATGAACAGACACTTTACAACTAAAGGAGACATATATGAGGCCAACAAACATATGAAGAAATGTTCATCATCACTGGTCATGAGAGAAAAGCAAATCAAAACTACATTGAGATGCCATCTCATGCCAGTTAGAATGGCAATCATTAAAAAATCTGGTGACAACAGATGCTGTAGAGGATGTGGAGAAATAGGAACATTTTTACACTGTTGGTAGGAGTGTAAATTAGTTCAACCATTGTGGAAGGCAGTGCGGCAACTCCTCAAGGACCTAGAAATAGAAATTCCATTTGACCCAGCAATCCCATTACTGGGTATATATCCAAAGGATTATAAATTGTTCTATTATAAGGACACATGCACATGAATGTTCATTGAGGCATTGTTTACAATAGCAAAGACTTGGAACCAACCCAAATGCCCATTGATGATAGGCTGGACAGGGAAAGTGTGGTACACATACACCACGGAATACTATGCAGCAATGAAAAATGATGAGTTCGTGTCCTTTGTAGGGATATGGATGAACCTGGAAACCATCATTCTAAGCAAACTGACACAAGAACAGAAAATCAAACCCCACATGTTCTCACTCATAGGCAGGTGTTGAACAATGAGAACACATGGACGGGGGGGGAGCATCACACACTGAGGTCTGTGGGGAGGATCTAGGGGAGGGACAGCAGTGGGTGGGGAGTTGGGGAGGGATAATATGGGGAGAAATGCCAGATATAGGTGATGGGGAGGAAGGCAGCAAACCACATTGCCATGTATGTACCTATGCAACAATCCTGCATGTTCTTCTGTTCTTCACATGTACCCCAAAACCTAAAACACAATTATATATATATATATATATATATATGGATATGTCACTTCTCAGGTGAAGTGATTATAAATGGGTGTCTTCCCCTCTCCTCTTTCCCTATCTATAGGCTGGATTCAGAGGAGTTGAGCTTTTGGGAAATAGCCTGGCCATAAGACAGAAGGAGCTTGGATTTCATTTGAGTATGATTCACTAGTCAGAAAATACCAATTATACTTTATGTGTTCAAAGGTAAATGTTTATTGTGTAAAGTCATTATATAAATTGCTGTTGTCATTATAGCAGCTAGTGTTACCTTAACAGATACACATCCTATCTTAGGAACATCTTCGAAATCCCTCCTATCAAAGGAGATTTAAGTACATGAAACAGACTCCTGACCAGAGTGTTAATCTAGAAGAACATTGTGCATAACTGGAATCATGTCAATTGGAAGGAAATCTCCTCTCAGGTGTGCCAAATTTTTAGCCTGCCAAAGCATTCATTCATCTAAGTTGGACGTTAGTTTAGATATTCTGTATGCTACATCTGTCACAATGCTATTATATGTATAGATATGTGCATCTTCTGTGTAAAAATAAATTTATAATCAGCATATATCATAGTTTATGGAACCCAGTGTGTCCTGAAATATTTGTTCATTGATTAATGAAAATTTGGGGATCTATTCCACTGTTGTAAAGGTATATATACTCTCATGATTGTGGAGTTTCCTAGCCCATATTTTGTCAATTATCACATCAGTCACCATATTACACATCTGAAAAGGCCTATATAAGCATCAAAATTATTTTTGTACATGAATTTAGAGAACACATTCTTCTACAACGAAGAGAGTAACTATGGTTCACTTTAGTGTCATCACGACACTAAATGATGTCTATCTATTATCTATCTATCTGTCTATTATCCATATTGCTATCTAACTATTTAGAGACAGGGTCTTGCCATGTTTCCCAGGCAGGACTGCAACTTCTGGGCTCAAGTGATTCTCCCACCTCAGCCTCAAATGTAGCTGGGACTACACGTGTGCACCATTGCACCCAGCCTACTATATGTTAGCTAATTAATAAAAAGGGACACAAGTACACAGGTCCATAACTAAAAAAATAAATCAAAGAAGGGATACAAATTGGAATTAAAATAAACACAAACTGTTACTTACTTAAAGAAAAAGACTGCAGTGGGAAGCAATGTCATATAGGATTTAATTACATGGTCTTTACAGCAATAGGTAGACATTTTATGGTGCCCTGGCTCTTGTTCTCTGTAGTCTTTAGAGAATTGTATACTTCCTCAGTTTATTCACTTTACCATAAGAATAATAGTACTTGTTTCCTGGTGCTTAATGAGATTAAAATGAGATAATTTAAGTTCTTGGCATACTGCATACTACCCTATAAATTATCAATACATTTTATCCATAATTAATCTCATTTACTGAAGATAATTTATGGACTTCCTACAAAACTCTATGTTTAAATGATTTATGTATTTGAAATAAGTATATAAAACTCTTAGCCTTTTCCTCATAGTTATCATATATGAGTATATGTATACATATATATAAATAAAAATGATATGTTTATAAAATAGATTTTTCTTGACCCTCACAATATATAAACTCATTTGCATAAACTTGCAAGATGCTTTCAAATTTCCGTTCTGGAGAAAATGAGAAATTAAGATAGCACATCTGTTACAGTGACCTATGCTAAAATAGATGGGCTACAGACTAGATTGCTAGCTCCACTTTTGCCACCAGTGCTAACCATATTTGAGTAAGTTATTTAACCTTCCTAAGCCAGCTTGCTCCTCTAAAAATGGCAATCAAAGAAATAACTCTTCAAAATTTGGCTTAAAGCAAACACTGATATGAATGTTTTTAAAGTGGTTCTGAATATAAAATGTGACGTAACCCTAAGCCATCATAAACAGCCTCAACTTTTAAGGGCATATGCTTCCATTTCTAATTGCTATCTGCTACAGTGATTATCAGAAAAAGCAAGTTGATTAATTAATTGATTGATCACTTTGTTACATTAATCTAGAAGTGGGAAAATATAATTTTGTATCTCACCTGGAAGACATCGATATCAAATCCTCTTCCACTTTACAGTGCAAAAGTGTGCTTATATTAAAGTGCCTCATTTACAGGAAAAAAATAGCTCCCTGCCAAAAAAGAGCAATGTAACATAATTACTCTTGGCTTGGAAGCCTACTATTAGTTTATTCAATGACATTCCCAAATAGTGCTGGAAGAATTTGACAGGAAACATTTTTGTTAGAAAAAAAAATCTTTCAGTTTTATGTATTATATAGACACAGAAAAAAAAAATGAATGGTGGAAATAAGCCTTCATTTAACAGTGACTACTTGCCACATAAATTCCTTAGATTTCATGCCTTTGATTCTATTTTGGGTTACAAGTAAGTGGTACACAATATAAAAATATTTTCCAAAATAAAATCAGAAACTGGCACAGTGGAACTCTTCTGCTAGATATAGCCAGTTACTGACCCATTCCTATGGGGCAACTGGATGGTGTCTTGTTTAAGGGAGGAGCAAATGAGACCTGGAACACTCACATCTGGAAATGACCCAGCAACTAGAGTGTAGCATTACTATCTGGAAAGGATTCAATATCTAGAGTGTAGTATAAAATGACAATAAGCTATCTGAAGAATATGGTGACAGTTCTCAAAGGTAGAAAAATAATAAAATAAATGCATCAACATGAGGTTCTTATAGCATTCCTGAGAAACACATTGGACTGTTAACATAGAGGTTTATGGTTCAAGCCTGTAAAGGGACAATATCTCTTCATGGAAGAAGTCCAAAATACTTAAATTTTTAGATTTGGAAGTCATGGAGCCATTGATTTAAATCTGGTTTTATGTCTTACTAATTATGACTTTGGGCAATTAAAATAACTTTTCCAAGTCTCATTTCCTCATATGTAAAAAGAAAATAATAATAGCACTTAAACCTTGAGTTATGGAAGCTGAATGATTGCATGATAAAATATTCTCACATGGATGGTATATCGATTAGTGCATTTTTGGTGGGGCCAGGAGATGCAAAACTTGCTTGGAAAAGCCTAATTGCAGGACTCTGAGAAGGACTTAAAAATTAATGCAATAAACCTTAATGAAATGGAATATGTGAGGATACATAAGTTGGGACAATCTATTTGAAAGAATATACCTCAGGTCTTGCCCAGCAAATTGAAACTGCATATTGGTTTACTCTTGCAAACAGCAAAATTGTAAAACCTTAGAACTCAGAGATAGACTAATCAGTGCCTTTAGATAATATATTCAGCATTAGGCCCCAATGCTGACATGTCCACTATCCTCTCCAACATTTTTGTAGATGGCCTAAAACCAGAAATTGTAGATTTGGTATGTAAACAAAATTGGATGGCAGATCACTCTATTATACAAACTTCAGCCTTTGGCTGAATGTACTGAAGATAATTTAGATATGATAAAACAACTCTCAAACTAACCTTACAGATTGCAAAATAAAGCAGGTGAATGTAGAATTCCCACAGCCTTAAGAACCAGTAAAAATCCCTATTCAACAAGACCTTCGCTGGGTTTGTAAGCAAAAAGGCAACTGAAACATTAATTGCTTCATCTTAATAAAAATGAGAAAAGAGCCGGGCGCGGTGGCTCAAGCCTGTAATCCCAGCACTTTGGGAGGCCGAGGCGGGTGGATCACGAGGTCAAGAGATCGAGACCATCC